GAAATAGAGAAGGAAAGGAAAGAGGAAGAAAGGAAAGGAGGAGGAAAAAAAAGGAAGAAAAGAAAGGAAGAAAGAGAAAGGAAAGGAAAAATAAAAGGAAAGAGAAGAAAAGAAAAGAAAGAGGAAAGGAAAGAAAAAGAAAGGAAAAACAAAAGGAGATAGAGAAGAAAAGAAAGGAAAAGGAAGGAAAGGAAAGAGATGAACGGAAAGGAAGTAGAGAAGGAAAGGAAGGAAAGGAAAATGAAAGTGATGAAGAAAATGAAAGGAAAAGGAAGGAAAGGAAAGGAAATAGAGAAGAAAAGGAAAGGACAGAAAGAGTCCCCGTTTCAAAGGCTTTGGTGGGCCGACCAAGCCAGCCCCTTTCCCAAGGCTTCAGATAAATATGTTCAAAGCTAAGGAAGTACAGACCGTCCATTCCAACCCTGAGGAGGCCAACAGTTCCGTGCAAGTCCACCCACCCCCAACCCCCCACCCCCCAAGGAAGGAAAACAATGGTACGGCCTGCCAAATCAAAGGATATTGGATGGATCAAAGCAGGGGAACCTTGGAACGTGCCAAGAACGGCGCCGGGAGCCTCAAAGCTCTTTCTGAACTCTATGACTATTGCATGACTTGACCGAGGAAAATCACCTGGTCAGAGTCCAACACTTTTACGTTGGAAAAATCAGCGACAGTAGGCGAGAAAGTTGCACACGGAGAGGGGTTCTTGTTGATCTATTCCTTTGTCGTCTTCTCACGCTAAGGCTGGGGGACTTTTCCCGGAGGCGAAGAAGAAGCGGGCAACTTGGGGTAATTGTGTGATTGCTCGATTATTTCTCTCTCTGTGTGTGTGTGTCTCTCTCTGTGTGTGTGTGTTGTTTGGGGAGGTTGGGTTGGGTTGTAGCTCAAATCAGTTGGGCTGAGATTGAGACAAAGTACCAAGGAAGGAGAAGATTTGTAGCTCAGGGTTGAAAGGAGGGCTCCTTGGCGCTCTCAGAGCTTGGTGGCTTTCTTGCAGATGTTTTGTGACTCAACTGGGGAACACCATCAGTGCTAGGAGGGAATGGGGTGTGTGGAGAGGAGGAGGAGGAGGAGGAGGAGGAGGAAGAGGACTGTGAGGTCCTTGGTGATCTCTGAGCTTGGTGGTTTTCTTGCAGACGTTTCATGACCCAACTAGGGAACAACATCAGTGCTAGGAGGGAATAGGGTTGGTGGAGAGGAGGAGGAGGAGGAGGAGGAGGAGGAGGAGGAGGAGGATTTTGGGGTCCTTGGTGATCTCTGAGCTTGGTGGTTTTCTTGTAGACATTTCATGACCCAACTAAGTAACATCATAGTGCCAGGAGGGAGTGGGGTGTGTGGAGAGGAGGAGGAGGAGGAGGAGGAGGAGGAGGAGGAGGAGGAAATGACTTTGGGGTCCTTGGTTCTCTCTGAGCTTGGTTGTTTTCTTGCAGACATCTTCAGTGCTGGAAGTGAGTGAAGTTTGCAGAGAGGAGAAAGACAATGAAGGGGAAGGAGAGAGGGAGGGGGAGGGGAAGAAGGGGGAGTGGGACTGTGGAGTCCCTTGTGCTCACTGAGTTTGGCTCTTTTCTTGCAGACATTTCATTACCCAACTAGGTAACATCAGCCAGTTGCTTCAGAGCTACTGACTGCTGCTGCTGCTGCTGTCACATGAGCTACATTTTCAACCTTCTGCGAAGTTTCCAAGCCAGTCTTGCAATCCCTTGTTCTCACGCTCTCTCTCCCCCCATTCAGAAGCAGCCACTTCCTGGGGAGGGGAGAGGAAGAGGAGAGGAGGAGGGGAAGATGAAGGAGAAGGAGAAGAAGATGAGGAGAAGAAGAGGAAGGAGGGGAGAAGGGGAAGCAGGAGAAAGAAGAGATGAGAAAGAGGAGGAGGAAGGGGGAAAGGGAGGGGGAGGAAAGGAGACAGAGGAGGAATGAGAAGAGGAGGAAGGGTTGAGAAGAAGGAGAAGACAAAGGAGGAAAGGAGGGGAAGGAGGAGAAGAAAAAGCGACGTGAAGGACAAGGAACACGAGGAGGAGAGGTGAGGAGAGAAAAGAGGAAGAGAAAGGAGGAAGAGAAGATGAGAAGAAGGAGATGATGGGAAGAGGACAGGAGGTAAGGAGAAGAAGGACAGATGAAAAGGAGGAGAGGAGGGGAGGAGAGGGGAAGGGAAGAAGAGGGGAGGAAAGGAGGGGAAGGATGAAAAGAAAAAAGGAGGAAGGGAAGGGAAAGGAAAAGAGAAAAGAAAGAGGAGAGGAAAGGATAGGAAAGGAAAAAGGAAAGGAAAGGAAAAGAGAAAGGAAAGGAGATAAAAGGAAAAGAAAGGAAAGGCGAGGAGAGGAAAGGAAAGGAGAGAAAAAGAGAAAGGAAAGGAAAGGAAAGGAAAAAAGAAAGGAAAGGAAAGGAAAGGAAAGGAAAGGAAAGGAAAAAAGAAAGGAAAGGAAAGGAAAAAGGAAAGGAAAAAGGAAAGGAAAAAGGAAAGGAAAGGAGAGGAAGCAAAGGAAAGGAAAGGAAGGAAAGGAAAGGAAAGGAAAGGAAAGGAAAAGAAAAAGGAAAAAGGAAAGGAAAAAGGAAAGGAAAGGAAGGGAAGGGAAAGGAAAGGAAAGGAAAGGAAAGGAAAGGAAAAAAGAAAGGAAAGGAAAGGAAAGGAAAGGAAAGGAAAGGAAAGGAAAAAGGAAAGGAAAGGAAAGGAAAGGAAAGGAAAGGCATACAATCTAACAATCTCCTTTCTCTTTCTCCCAAAATATTGGCCAAGCTGTCCCCTGCCCGGCCTTGAGAAGGCAACAATCCCAGCCTTGTGACGAAATCCAGCTCTCCAACCTTCCCAGCCACCAACCACAATCCTCGCCTTAAAAAAAAATCCCGATCAGCCTGTTTGGTGCCTTGCGCCCAGCGCCTGCCTTCCTCTCCTTCCTCTAACAAAAGGTGATCTCCCCACTGTGGTTTCAAGGCGGTGCCACCTGTACGGACCAGCGCACAGGTAAATGAAACTCCCAAACCTGGTTGGAAGGCTTCAAAAGGCAGACCTCCACCGGCTTGCACGAGGGGACCCCTCGCTTACCTGGGGGACAGACGCTGCGGGAAGAAGGGAGTTTGCCAAACTGAAAGGTACATTTCACGAGTCCTCCCTTACTGCCCAGGCCCGCTTTCGACATTAAGTGGAACTCCTCCCCGTAGTTGGGGAGAGAGAGAAACCTGTCCAGTTTTGCTGTGTAGTAGGCAACCGTTGTCCTTCGATCTGGCCACCTGGCTGGGGTCCAGGAACTGAGGAAGGGCTGCAGAGCTGCCAGCATCACACCTGTAACAGTTAGCAGGTAGCAAAGGTAACCAGGTGGGCAGAGGTTGAATTCCTGGATCCTTTCCTCCTTATTTCAATCCAAGAGAGGAATAGATGGGCGATCCTCTTAAAGGGACGGTGCAGAGTTTTGCAAACCGTCCAGGTAATCCTTGAGGGAGCCTGACACCACCCCTTATTTTTTTAAGGTAATTTTTAAAAACATTTTATTTTAATATAAATCCATTTTCCATCTAAATAGAGCATCGTCCGGGTGCAAATCTCTTGTGCAATAATGGCAGTTTATACATGTTTGTTACCTGAGTATTAATGCTCTCTTACTTAATGCTGATGTCCGTAATATATCAAGTTGTTATAACAATCCCCATCTTAACATATTTAGTTTTATTTACCTGTTTTCTATATTTCGCTCATCTTCTTTCATTTCCAATCTCCATATTTTATTCTCCAGCCGTTGATAAGAATAATTCCCATATCATATAGTATTCAAGTAGCCCTTAATGGGTCTAAGTCTAAATGGAGGGAAGTAAGCAGTGGGTGCCACAAGGTTCCATCTTAGGCCCAGGACTCTTCAATATCTTCATGAACGACTTAGAGGAGGGAATAGAAGGGGAACTTACCAAATTTTCAGGTGATACTAAGCTAGGAGGAATAGCTAACGCCCAAGAAGATAGGCTGAAGATCCAGATGGATCTTGACAGACTAGAACCCTGGGCCCTATCCAACAAAATGAAATTCAATGTAGAGAAAAGTAAAGTCCTACACTTAGGCAAGAAAAACCCAAAGGACACAGATAGACTGGGTGAAACCAGGCTCAATAGCAGGAACTGGGAGAGGGATCTGGGAGTCTTAGTGGACAACCAGCAAAATAGGAGCCAGCCGTGTGCAGCAGCAGCCAAAAAAGCCAATGCAATCCTAAATTGCATTAACAGAGGGAGACAATCGAGATCAAGGAAGGTACTAATAACCCTCTATAAAGCCTTAGTAAGATCACACCTAGAGTACTGCATCCAGTTTTGGTCACCAAATTACAAAAAAGATGTTGAGACTCTAGAAAAAGTGCAGAGAAGAGCAACCAGGATGATGAGGGGATGGAGGATGAAACATACGATGAACGGTTGCAGAAACTGAGCCTGGCTAGTCTAGGGAAGAGGGAGACAGACCAGGGGAGACAGGAGAGCATCTTCCAATATCTTCCAATATTTGAGGGGCTGTCACAGAGAGGAGGAAGGGGTCAGGCTATTTTCCAAGGCACCCAAAAGCCAGACAAGGAATAATGGATGGAAACTGATCAAGGAGAGATTCAACCTGGAAATAAGGAGAAATTTTCTGACAGTGAGAATAAATAACTAATGGAACAGAAGTTGCCTTCGAAGGTTGTGGGAGCTTCATCCCTTCAAGAAGAGATTGGACTGCCATCTGTCAGCAATGGTGTCGGGTCTCCTGCTTGGGTGGGGAGTTGGACTAGATGACCTACAAGGCCCCTTCCAACTCTGATTATTCTTCTGTTATTCAGAAGTTGTGGGAGCTTCATCCCTGGAGGTCTTTGAAGAAGAGACTGGACTGCCACTTGTCAGAAATTATGTAGGGTCTCCTGCTTGGGTGGGTGGGTGGGGGTTAGACTAGAAGACCTCCAAGGTCCCTTCCAACTCTGTGAATCTAACCTATTAAGCCACCTCTCCTCTCCTTCAGGTCTTCTGCTCTGGAGGTGAAGATGGCGTGGCTCACCCACTTCCTGGCGTGCATTTTTGGCACCGGTTCCTGGGTGGCCATCAACGGCGTTTGGGTTGAGCTTCCCCTGTTGGTCAACGAATTGCCTGAAGGCTGGTATCTTCCTTCCTACCTCACCATCATCATCCAACTGGCCAATCTCGGGCCTCTCTTCGTCACCCTCATGCACAAACTGAAGCCTGGGTTGTTGAAGGAGGTGCCGGTGATTTGCGTGGTGGTCTCCGTGGGCATCCTCGCTCTCTTCCTCCTGGCTTTCCTTTGGCATTACACCACGCCGGTCGCTGGAGAACCTCACAGCGTGTCTTTCTTTGTCCTCACCTTTTTCCTCTCGCTGGTGGACTGCACCTCGTCCGTCACCTTCCTGCCTTTCATGGCTCGCTTCCACCCACGGTACGTCCCCACCCTCTTCATCGGGGAAGGGCTCAGTGGCTTCATCCCAGCTCTCTTCGCCCTGGCTCAGGGCGCCGGCATTGCCACCTGCGTCCAGGTCCCAGGGCCGACCTTCAACGCCAGCCTGGGCAACTCTTCGTGGGCCAACGGCACAGGAGCTGGGGACTCTCTGCCTATGGAGACACGCTACTCTCCGGCCAACTTCTCCAGCCTGGTCTTCTTCCTCCTCCTCTCGGCCATGATGTCCTTCTGCCTGGTGGCCTTCGTCTTCCTCAACTGGCAGCCCCAGTCGTGGGACCTTTCCAGGCAGGATTTATGCTCCAGCGAGATCACCCTGAACTCGATCCAGAAGTTTCCCGCGGGCAAGGAGGAACCGGACGACTCGACGGGAGGCCCAACCTACTCTACGGAGAGAAAGGTGGAGAACGTCAATGAAGAGGGCCCAGGGGGCGAGAAGGTCCTGTATTCCGGCTCCAAATTGGTCTTCATCTATTTCCTCATCACTTGGCTGAATGCCCTGACCAACGGCATCCTGCCCTCCGTGCAAAGCTACTCCTGCTTACCTTACGGCAACCTGGCGTACCATCTGGCGGCCACCTTGAGCTCCATGGCCAACCCTCTCGCCTGCACCGTGGCCACCTTCCTACCCAACAGGTGTGTATGCTTGGGGTTAAGACAACGGGTACCAACAGAAGAGGATATTCTCCAGCTTGGGGTTGAAAGGAGAATCCCCTGGGTGCTCTGTGAGCGCGGTGGTTTCCTTGTAGGCGTTTCATGACCCAACTAGGGAACATCATC